GCAGTGGACAAGTCTCTTCCCTTCTCTGAGACTGTATCTCTACATCTGTGTAACAGAGGCCAATAGACTCATAAATCTTCCCACAGGTGGCCTTTCCACTGTTCATGCATTAGAATGCCACTAGGGGACAGTAGCAATTTGTTTGTCTTCCATGTTTGCCCTCCTCAGTTGAAATCACAGTCTTCATTAATCTTACACAGATTTTGAACTTTAGCATGAACTGCTTGTTAACACGCAGAAAAATGGGTCCCACGCCAAGACCTAGAAAAACTCTGGGGGTGGGACCCAAGAATGTGCATTTCCAACAAGGTCCTGGAGTAGGGGCATGTCTGGGGTGTTTGACGACCAGCCAGGAGTCCAACGGATCCAAAGCAGCATGGGCAAGAGGAAGAGTAGTCAAGGATGAAGGCAGAGGGGTGGCTGGGGGCAGGTTGGGGGCATCTGTAGGTCAAATGAGAGCTTGTAGTTCTCAGAATAGAAAGGAGTGACTTTCGTTTTGACAGGATCCCTCTGGCTGCCCAGGAGCCCTGGTAGCATAGTGGGTTATGTGTTGGGCTGCTAACCGCAATGCCCTATGGGAGAAAGACGTGGTTTTCTGCTTCTGTAAAGATTTACAGCCTCGGGAAACCCTATACAGGGTCAATATGAGTCAGAACCGACTCCATGACACACAGCCAGCCAGGCTCTGACTTCCATATTGATCAAGGGGAGAAAGCAAGGAGAGCGAAGGAGATTCCTGTAACCATCTGGGCCGAGATGATGATGGCCCACCAACTCGAGGAGCAGTGGGGATGAAGACGTGGTCAGAGGTTATATGCGCAAATATTTCTATAACTGAAAAATCTGTCTCCTCTCCTCCGTTTGGGTAACTCACACCTAGAGTTGAAACAGTTGCCTAAACCTTAACTGTTTTCTCTATTCTCAATCTGGCTCATCTTTTTTGTTTCTGGGTTTGCTTGGTTTTCATATTTTTTTACTGTGACTTAAAGTTTACAGTGCAAATTGGTTTTCCATTCAATAATTCATACTCATTTTGTTTTGTTACATTGATTGCAATCCCTGCAATGTAACAGTGGTCTTCCCACTTCCTCTCTCTGGTTCCTGATTCCATTCATCCTTCTTTCTATTGCTTCCTACCTTCTGAGCTTTTGTTGCTGTTCTTAAGCCCTGTCCAGTCAGTGCTGACTCACAGTGACCCTGTATAGGGTTTCTGAGGCTGTAAATCTTTGCAGGAGCAGAAAGCCTCATCTTTCTCCCACCGAGCAGCTGGTGGGCTCCAACCGCTGACCTTGTGATTCACAGTTCAGTGCTTATCCTACAAAGCCACTGAGCTCCCCAAACCTGATTGTTGTTGTTAAGTGCTGTTGAGTCAGTTCCAACCCATAGCGACCCTGTATGGCGTTTCCAAGAAACGGCTGGTGAGCTTGAGCTGCCAACTTTGTGGTTCAAGCTGACCTCGCAGTCCAGCGCAATAGCCCACAGCACCACACCAGGATCCCAAGCTTGATTAGTAGATGACAATATTTTAATACTTTTTTATGAGGAAAAAGGCTTTATCCATAGGCAAATACTTCTGTTTTGATCTTGTATGGTTTTGCTTACAATGAAGAGTGATCACATAACATCATTACATAACCGCCAAGTTACATCATTAAATAACTTCCAAACCACTGAGGATCATGGTCCAGCTAAGTTGACATACAACGCTAACCATCACAGGCCCACGTTACTGTTACCTCGTACCTCAGCATCCATTGCTGCCAGGCATAGTGTGCAAAATAGTCTGTTGATATTTTACTACTATCATAAATGCAAAAAAGATAGTCAATAAAGGAGGAGTAGGTGTATTATTTTTATCCCCATTTTACATAATGTCAATTTCTGTTTAATGACCTTTGGCAACTAATCATGTCGATAAGTGAGTGTTGCAGACCGTGTAAGACTAGTCAGAGGTTCGAGGCCCTCTAGGGCCTAGTGTAACAAATGAGGCCACTGGCAGTTAACGGCAAATTAATATTCAGGTATATATATTAAATTAATACACTGGAGCCTTTGACAATCCACAGATAAATGTGGTATTTTCCTAAAGCCGAGACTAAAGGTTGCAAGGTTAAGCCTTTCTCCAAAGGATTAACTAAAAACATCTTAGCTACTTCACAGTTCTTTGTTCCATAGACAAAGAACCCATCCTCCCTAATCCTTTTCCAGGTGCAGCCCATTCACCTGGGTGTCTGGAGTCCTCCTGCAGACCTGGCTCAGGAAGCCGAAGCAGCAGGACTCCGCCCAAGCTTTTGTCTTTATCTCACCTTCCCCCAACTATGCTCAGGGGCTATAGATACGTTAATTGGGCCTGAGAAACCAAGTTGCTAGCCTGGGATTCGAACCTGAATGTCTGGAAAAGTACTGATGTTAGCTGTACCTTGCCTAAGTCCCTCCCAGCTTGGTGTGAAGCTCCTCCCCTAAATAAAGCAGAGGCCCGGGCCTCCCCAGGTGTGCATTACTGGTTGGCAGGCATGGAGTAAAGATGGCAGTGCATTACTAGTTGGGAGGCATGGAGTAAAGATTGCAGGGCAGTGAGTTGCTGCCTGCAGAGGCCACGATGCCTGTAGTCCCAAGCCTGCCCACCAGTGATGTATCCACCCTGGCTTTGGGGTGCCTCTTTGTCTCTCTCTTTGTCTCCTTTTGTGTATTCTTGATACATATGAATCGCCGTCAGGTATCCTCTCCTCGTGAACCGAACCCCAATGTCGAGGCAGGTCCCCGACAAGTAATGAGTGGGTATAATCACTGCAAAAGGTTACTATGAGGGCTGAGTGAGTTATTACAAATAAGATGCTTAGAACAGCGCCTGGCATGTGATTATTATTTATTCAACAAGCATTTCTTGAGCATCTATAGTATGTAGAAGGAGCTCTGGTAGCGTAGTAGTTACGAGTTGAGCTGCTAACCTCAATGTCAGCTAGTTCGAAACTACCAGCAGTTCCATGGGACAAAGGTGAGGCTTTCTGCTCCCGTAAAGATTTACAGCCATGGACACTCTATACAGGTTTGCTATGAGTCAGAACCAATTCCATGGCACACCACCACCACCATAATATGTAGGGCAGTCCTAGTGTGGCACTGTAGGATAATGCACTGGACCACAAGTTCGGTTTGAATCACAAGGCCGGTGGTTCAAATTCACCAGCTGCTCCTCAGAAACTCTATATATGGTCGCTATGAGCTGGAACCAACTCGACAGCACTTAACAACAACAATGGTGTGTAGCGATCTCCATTAAACTAGCCCAGTAGAAAGAGCATAGACCACAACCCAGCAATTCCACTGCTGAATAAATATATGAGGGACTTCAGAAAGTTTGTGAAAAAAAAAAAAAAAAAAGGAATTGAAAAATAATGGGACTTTCTGAAGCCCCCTCTTGTATCCAATAGAACGGTTGACAGAATTCTGCAGAAGATATAATCTGTGTAAATATCAAGAATGTCTTCGAACTTCCTGGCTGCTGGATCCTGACAGAAACACAGTTTTAATTTTTAAACAAATACAGGTAGACCGTGGCAGAGGAGACAAAGTTTCTAGAATTTGTTTATTTATTCTTTACAATAAAACATGAACTTCAAACAGAATTTTCTACTAGGACTGCTTTATTAATCCCTGGAGGTAATCTCCCCCACACCATTTTTCTCTACCCCAAAACATTGAGAATCCCTGACCTACAAAAGGATAAGTGAAAAAGACTTGCTACAAAATCATAGACACCTGTATTATACAAAAATATCAAAATGTGAAGCCATTGTTTCTTGATATATCCTCCACTTATGTCTACACATTTCAGAAGGTGGTGTTTCCATCTCTCTACGGATTTTTGCACTCTTTGATTTACACCATGTCAAAATGGCAGTTTAGGCATCCTCGGGAGACTGAAATGGCGTTCCCTTTAAATGTTCTTTGAGTTTGAGGACAAAAAGAAGTCTTAAGGGGCAATCAAGATCAGGACTGTAGGCTGGATTGGGTAAGGTTTCCCAGTCTACCCTCAAAGAATGAACAGGTGCATTTTTGTGACAAATAAATTCCTTGGCCCAACTTTCCTGGCTTTTTTCTCACCATTGCGGTTTTCTGCTTTCTTAAAAGTGCTTCCTAATCAGCCCCATGATCACTCTGTATCCTTTGAGAATCATCTATAAAGGAGACTCCTTTTAATCTCCCAGAGTCTTCATAACCTTCTGAGCTGATCTCTCTGCCCTGCACTGTCCCAGCAGATCCCCTCAGAAGCCACTATTTTGATTGCCCTGTTTTTTAAGGGACCAAGTGTCTATAGAGAGAACTTGTGTAGAGACAGGTTTAAACACACTTTATTTGGAATGAACTGGAACCCTAGTAGCAACACTTTTTGACTTACACTCCTGTATGTGTGTCTTGTCCATGCTTGACACATAGCAGCTCAAATTGTGTCTTATTCATACAAATTGTGTTTAATGGATTTCTTTTAGGCCTGTTTTCTGCTTTTTTAAAAAAGACAGCACGATTTCACCTTGTGTTTGTCACAAATAATTTACCCCCTCATGAGAAAGACTTTCTCAGTTGAGCACAAGTCTGATGCACACGTTTCTGCCTGAGCTAGTATTCAGGGACTATTTACTTAACCCTAGAAAAGGAAGGAGAATCAGAATGTCATGCAAACAGCCCAGCTTCCGCCAAGAGAATTCTAGCAGGGGAAATTCTAGCAGGGGAAATTGGACAGAAAGTACGTGGAGCGGGCATAAAAAATGGGAGTCTGCAAGGAACGAACCAGAAACCCTAGAAACCTTGGCCATTCTCCCCGTCTGTGAATTAGTAGAGGGAAATAGGTTACACACCCTCCTCTTTGCCGAGTTATATCTCAGGATCCAGACGGACAACTTGCGAATATTCTTGTCTTCCAGGACCTGTTCGGTGGATCCAAGTCTCAGGGATGCCCGCTGGGGACCTGGGGCGCCGCGTATCGGTTCCCAGGCGCTGCTCTAATAGGCTCTGTTCTGTGGGCTGCGCCCCATGACGGGCGGACAGGGTCTGAGAACGCACAAGCGGCGCTGGGTCTCCACTCGGCAGAAACGGTTCTGGTTGGACACCCGCGTGGCCACACCCAGTCCGCAAGAGGTCGAGCAGGGCCCCCAGAGCGTGCTCATTTCCAGGCATGGGAAGTTCGTGGGTGGAGGAGCGACTAGGCCTGAAAGCTGGGGTTCTGTGGGGGAAGAAAGAGGGGTCAGCGCTCAGAGGTCCGGGTTTGGCAGCCAAATCAACCTACCTGCTTGGTCGAGTTGTTTAACTTCTCTGGACCAAGATCACCCTGTTTATAAGCACCTGTGTGTATGTGTGCATATTATATATGTGTGTACACATAAACGTGCAAACTCGTAATGGAGGTCACCGTTTCTTTTTTATACGTAGTACAACGTATACATAATATGTTGTTAAGTGCTGTTGAGCCAGTTCTGACTCATGGTGATCCTGTATAGGGTTTCTGAGAAGCAGCTGGTGAGTTTGAATTGCCGACCTTTCGTTTCAAACCTACCTTGCAGTCCATTGCTTTATCCTGTAACACCATTCCAGGACTCCATAACCCGTCATATTGTTGTTGTTGTTGTTGTGTGCCGTGGAATCGGTTCCGACTCATAGTTACCCTGTACAGGGTTTCCGAGGCCGTAAATATTTATGGGAGCAGAAAGCCTTATCTTTCTCCCGCGGAAAAGCTGGTAGTTTCGAACTGCTGACTTTGCGGTGCGCAGCTCGATTCGTAACCACTATGCTACCGTCATAGGGCTAGTAATAGCTACCACTGATGAACGTATGTGTTATCAGGCTCTAAGCTATCTGCTTTATTTGTGTTAACTCATTTAATCCTGATAACTTTATGAAGTAAGTGGTGGTGGTGTGCTGTGAAGTCGGTTCCGACTCAGAGTGACCCTGCATAGGGTTTCCAAGGCTGAAAATCTTTACGGGAACAGAAAGCTTCATCTTTCTTTTGCAGAGCAGCTTGTAGTTTCAAACTGCTGACTATGAGATTAGCAGCCTGACTTGTAACTGCCATGCTCTCAGCTCTGCTCTTATATCCCCATTTTACAGATGGAGACACAAAGAAGTTAAGCAAAACAAAACCCAGCAATGCTAAAACAACAGAATCTCTAAAACTGAAGAGTTGACTTTCTTCTACCTCTGCCGACCTCTGCAGCTGAAGTGGCCGGTTAACCACAAGGCCAGCAGTTCAAGTATACCAGGTGCTTCTCAGGAGAAAAGATTTACAGTTTCAGAAGCCCTCTACTAGGATGTAAGTTGGAACTGACTCAGTGGTACAAGACCACCAGCAACCACCTGCGCATCTAGGTCACATCCAAGAGGCAAACACAGTCTGGGTCAGTTTTGAGCTTCTTTTTTGATACGTCCAAATAATACTACTACACATCTATCAGTCTTAGTTTCAGTGGACTTTCTAGGAAATATAAGAATTTCATTAAAGTATCCTTCTTCTGCCCTGGTCATTACCACCCAATTCGTATTTTTAGTTAGTTAGGATTTAGGATTATAGGCGCCCTGGTGGCATAATGTCTAAGCACTGAACTGCTAACCGAAAGGTTGGAAGTTTGGACCTATCTAGCGGCGCTGCAGGAGAAAGTCCTTGCAATCTGCTCCCATGAAGATTGGTGGTAGTGGTGGTGATGCTGTGGAGTTGGTTCCGACCCATAGCGACCCTGCACAGAGTTCCCGTAAATCTTTACGGGAGCAGAAAGCCTCATCTTTCTCCCGCAGAACAGCTGGTAGTTTCGAACTGCTGACCTTGAGGTTAGCAGCCTGACTTGTGTCCTTCCCATGCAGATTAAAGCCTGGGATTTAGGGGACAGTGAGTTTATGTTAATGGGGATAACTCAGAAACGGAAGGTGCGAATTATCAATGTCACTGAATTGTACATGTAGAAATGGTTGACTTGGTGTGTTTCTGCTGTGTATCTTCTCAACAACAACGACAGCAACAAAGTAAATAAGAATTTTTAAAAATCCCAGAGCCTATGGCATATTACAGCTCCATCCCATGGTGTCAGTATGAGTTGAGATCAACCTGACACCACCTAACAACATGACTTAAAAGTGTACACTTTACCAGGGTTTGACTGGTGACTCGCCATTCACTGCCCTTTCCTGCCCCTCTCCTCAGCCTCCCTGCCACCCAGCGTCTGTTCGGAAACATTTGCTTTTACGTCTCCATGTATGCTGACAACCTTCCATGCCTTCATTTCTCTAGGCTCTGTCCTCCATGGTCTCACCCCAGGCCTGGGCTCAGCCAGCACTCACCTCGGACTGGGAGGGTCTGGGCCCCCAGGGCCTGGCTGCAGACCCACTCAGGACAGCATTTTCCTGGGATCTCCACTCTCCGGGGCTGTGGGCAGTCCCAGCTGGGCAGCCGGACATCCTCAGGGCACAGTGGGACACAGGTGATGCCTCCATCCTCGCAGCGGCAGCGGATCCTGCAGTGGGGCTGGAAGGTCTCTCCGTCCTGGTACACGCGGCCATTCATCTCACAGCTGCCATCATCCTCATCCACTGCAGGGAGACATGGGAACCCCATCAGTCATGCAGACCCTTCACTGGGAAAGGCCCATCCATCCAACACATGGCCTCCTGGCAGAGCTGGCTTCGATCTGGCTGGGGGAGGCCGTGCCCTTTCAGTAGCTGAGTCGGGATTCCCACCCAGCAATATGCACCCCAGCCCCTACTGCCAGCCTGCTAGGAAACTGCCTGGCACACTGGACCCTGGTGCAAGGTTTGCAGGGTCTGTCCCGTTTGATTCCCAGCTCTGCCTTTACTGATTGTACACCATGGCCAAGTGATTTTACTTCTTCTTGCCTCAGTTTCCTCATCTGCAAAATGGGGATATAATGGTTCCTATTTCAACAGTTGTGACGTGATATGTGGAGCATGCCCCACATAAAGACCTTCCACCAAACCTAGCAGTGTGTTGCTGTTATTCTTCTAATAATTTATATAACATAATGTGGTGCTGTAGGATAAGCACTGGACTGCTAACCACAAAGTCAGTGGTTCAAACCCCCAGCCACTCCTTGGAAACCCTATTCAGGATCACTATGACTGTGAACCCACTCAACAACACTGAGCAACAACAGCATGATTGTAATGGTTGTATATTAATCATATACAGGAGTCCTGGTGTGGCACTGTGGGTTAATGCGTTGGACTGCAGGGTCATTTGAACGGCAAGGTTGGGGATTCAAACTCACCAGTTGCTCCTCGGAAACGCTATATAGGTTGGAACTGCTATGGGTTGGAACCGACTCGACAGCACTTAACAACAACAACAAATCATATACAGCTATCACATCCTCACTGAGACTTCCTACAGCAAAGTTCCATTGCCCACTTGCTGTATGTAGATCATCACTGTTGTCATTATCAGGGCTTAACTTACTGGCTGTGTGGCTTTGAATAAGTTGCCAAACTTCTCTGAGTCATCTTAGCTCTTTATTGGTGCCGTCGGTTGAATGGGGGGTAGCCCGTACAGCTACATGCTATGTGCTCAGGAAACACTCTTTGAATGATGCCCTGGACTTCCTCCACTGAAGGAGAAATCTCAAGGGCGGGGCAGTATAACACGGCATTCCCATAGGACATACAGAACCTCATAAAAGACTTCTTGAGTGAATACCTAGCTCACGGCTGGACACAGAGAAGCTATCCCTCACTCCTTATAATTCAAGAGACAATTATTGTGCATCTCCTGTGTGTCACAGTCCTCGCCTCCAGGGACTCCAGGCCTTGGGGAGACAGGTGTGAAGGTCATCTTCTCCAGGGCAACATGAGGAAGTGGGGAGGGCTTCCTGGAGATGTTGATGGGAATTGTTTTCTTTAGATACATTCTTATTGTCAATTAATTATCTGTGAATTTACATAACAACCCAGCCCAACCCACTACCATGGAGGGGATTCGAACTCATGGAGAGCATGGAGACCCAACAGGACAGGGTAGTTGTATGTTGTCTAGTACGTTCTGACTCATAACAACCTTGTATAGGGTGTCTGAGGAACCACTGGTGGGCTTGAACCATCCACCTTTTGGTTAGCAGTCTAGTGCTTATCCTACAGTGCCACACCAGGACTCCACAGGACCTGGTAGAACTGTTCCCTAGGGTTTCCAAGACTAACTCTTTACAGGAGCACACAGGCTCATCTTTCTCAGTGTGGCTGGTGGGTGTGAGCCGCCAACCTTGAGGTTAGTGGACCAGTGATGAACTCACTGTGCCGTATAAAGCATTTAACAAGCGCTTCCTATTGATAACTTTGTTTGTGAGATTTTTTTAACAGATTTTTTTCTTTTTTTTTTTTTTCACAAGTGTTTAAAGTTATTGTTGTTTTCCAAAGATACACACATTTTTATTGCTGTGGACCTCTCTCTCTCTCGTTGTTATTTGTATAAAAGGGACATGCACACAGAAGGAAGAAGTAATAGTAACAAGACTTATTATTAATATTATTTTAAAAGAGTATGTTTTGATGCATTTGAGGTATGGTGTTGGAGAAGAATATTAAAAGCAGCATGGTCTGCCAGAAGAGCAAACCAGTCTGTGTTGGAAAAAGTACAACCAGAATGCTTCTTAGAAGCCAGGATGGCCAGACGTTGTCTCTCATACTTCAGACATATTATCAGGAGGGACCAGTCTCAGGAGAAGGATGTCATGCTTGGTAAAGTGGAGGATCAGTGAAAAAGAGGAAGACCCCCAGCAAGATGGACTGACACAGTGGCAGCAGCAAGTAGCTCAAACAATTGTGAGGCTAGGGCAGAACTGGGCAGTGTTTCATTCTGTTATGCACAGGGTCCCTGTGAGTGGGAACCAACTCAATGGCACCTAACAACAACAAAGCATTGGTTCTCAGCTGGGGATGGTTTTCCTCCCAGGGGACAGTTGGCACTGTCTCATCTGGAGACCTTTTTGGTTCTCATAACTTGGAGGGTTGGTACTGGAAGCTAGTGGGTAGAGACCAGGGGATGTTCCTAAACCGCTGGCAATGCACAGGACAGCTGCCACAATAAAGAATGTGTGGCCCCAGTGTTGCTCTGGGGAGGTGGAGACCCGCTTACAGCAGCAGAGGCTGCAGAGTGGTGAAAGGTGTAGCTTGCTCAGGGCCACTAAACCCACTGAACCCACTGCCATTGTGTTGATTCTGACTCATAACAACCCGACGAAGGGTTTCTGAGACTATAAATCTGTAGGAACAGACTGCTTCACCTTTCTACCACGGAGTAGCTGGTGGGTTTGAACCAGCTACAGTCCAATGCTTAACCCACTATGTAACTAGGGCTTGTTGTTGTTGTTAAGTGCTGTTGAGTCAGGTCCAACTCTGTATAGCGTTTCCAAGAAGCAGCTGGTTGGTTTGAACCACTGACAAATTGACCTTTTGGTCCAGTGCTTTATGCCACAGTGCCACACTAGGACTCAAATTGGTTCCAGGATTTCCAATCCAGGATGAAGACAGAGTGGCATGCTGCCTTTAGAGCCTGCTTGACCAGGGCCCTAAGCTGTGTGACATTAAATAGGGTGGAAACTGAGCCTCAGTTTCCTCATAAAATGGATTGGAAAGTACTTACCTCATAGGGTTAATGCAAGAATTGTGCAGGAAGTGCTTAGCACAGTGCCTGACACATCTTACTCCCTGAATGCGGGGGGGTGGAGGGGACACTTTTGTTTTCCCAAAAGTGTGTGAGCATCCTGAGAAGGGGACCGTCACCTCTAGTTTGAAGGGTCTGGAATGGCTTCTCAGGGGACGAGGTGTTTCAGCCTGGCTTTGGAAATTGGTCATGATTTGGACAAATTGGAGTGAGAGGAAGCTATCTGGTGGTGGGCGTGGTTCCAGCAAAGGTCAAGAAGGCAGAAGTTGGGGACTTAAGGAGCTGTGGGTCACCAGGTTCGGTTAGAGAGGACAGCGTAGGTGAAGAAAGATGAAAGGAGTTATCAAGAGGAGTCTGCTTGTGGACGGCGTACCTATGGCCTTGCCCACCACCCTCCATCAGTCCCGCAAACCTGCTTACAGAGGCACACGCCCTCCCAGCCTCCAGGACCTGCCCGGAGCTGGCAGGTCAGGCCCTGGCTGGGGTCGCAGACGTGGATGTTGTCGCAGGGCTCCCCCAGCCGCCGTGCACATACCCGGCAGCAGCTGCAGCCATCCAGCACCAGGGGCACCCCCAGTGGGCACCAGGGAGGCGTCCAGGGGCAGGCACATGGTGTTGGGCACGGCTGGGCACACACCTGCAGAGAGAGAGACCATTTACTTTGAAGACACTCACCTCTCTGCCAGGCTGGCCAATATGGGATCTATATATTGTCCCTGAGCCGTGCAGACCTGGTCTTGAGCCCTGGCTGTCCCTCTATTATGTTGCGGCCTTAAGAAGGATGCTGGACTAGAATTCCAGTCCTGGCCCTGACCATTGTTAGTTGTGTAACCCTGGGCAAATGATGTAATTTCTCGGATCCTCCGTTTCCTCATCCATAGAATGGGAATGATAACAGTATCTAATTCAGAGGACTATTTCAAGGAGTACATGAAATGGGGCAACAAATGCTCAATGATATCATCTATGACATCATTATTAATGCCACTAAATGGCTTCTTGGAGCTTACAGAAAGGCAAAAACAACTGATGGCTTAAAGCAGCATTTTCCAGCACGTCTGCTATGAATACTGAATAAATTAGACAGTATTGTGGGCATTATTAATATTGGGAGCAATAAAGAATACCTTTCTCAATCCTGAGTTGGGCATTCAAATCAGCCAGGAAGTTTGGGGAAATACGGATCTCAAGGTCCCCTCTGAGACTCATCAAGTTCAAATGCCCAGAGGTGGGGCCCTGCAATTTGTATTTTTAACAAGCTGTCCAGAAACTTTGGGAGCACGGCTAGTTTTCAGTCCCTCTGATCCATCCAACTCCCCTGCATTCATGTACAAATGGGGAAACTGAGGTCCAGAGAGGGGGAGGAGCCTTGTCAGAAGTCATGACATGTTCACTGTGGTAGTCAGTGCCTGCTTCCCTTTTGAGGACAGATTTCTCCTGTCAGGGGCACCTGAACTAGACACCGAGTCTCCAGTGGTGTAATCAAGGCATCAGTCCAAGTGTCCTGACTGCCCACCCAGGACAAAGAAGGCAGAGGGCCCCACCACCTTGCAAACTGGAGAAGAAACATGTCCACTTGAAGGTGGGGCCTAAGAAGTAGACATTATTCAAGATGTCCCCAATGGCTCCATTTGTGGGGGACTGGTCTTCAATTTAGGGGTCTCTGGGTGCCACAAACAGTTAAGTGCTTGGCTGCTCATTGAAAGGTTGACAGTTCAAATCTACCTAAAGGTACCTTGGAAGAAAGGCCTGGCTACTTTCAAAAGGAGCACAGCCACTAGAAACCCTATAGAGATGGAACTTGAAAATATGCTGAGTGAAATAAGCCAATCACAAAAGGACAAATAGTGTATGATCTCACTTCTATAAAAAGACAAGAAAGGGCAAGTGTTTCTCACTTCTTTAAAAAGACAAGAAAAGACCAAAGTTTCTTAGTGGTTACCAGAGGTGGAAGGGAAGGAGGAAAGAGCAATTAATGGTGAGGAAAATCACACTGATTAGGGGTATGGTTGTGCAGTCAATTATTGTAACTGTTGTCAATAAGTTGTAGAGCTGTAACACGTTGAATTGGCAGAAGTTGTGTGAGACATATTTATAACAAGGACAAAACCCCCAAAAGAATAGCTGTGGAGGCTGCTTATGTACAACCAAATACCTCATGAGATTTTTTTCCTGGATTTTGGAGGTTTAGGGTCATGGTTTCATGAGAGATCCCAGTTACTAGTGCTTCTGTTCTAGCTGCTAGATCCTAGGTCTTAGCAACCTTCAAGCAGCCAATCAAAACACAACACTTAGTCTCTATTTGCCTGGAGAAACAGAGGAAGGCGGAGAGTCAGGAATAGGAGGAGGAAGTGGAATATGGGGCTAATTAAATCCATGAACAACTGCTTCCCTTGTCATGAAACCACAGGAATCGGGGGGGTGGGGGGATGCCCACCACAACTGAACTTTTCTTTTTTAAAGTTTTTATTGTAAATTTAGTGGTAGTTTACATGGGAGCACATCGTTTCATTGCAATGACTACGTTCTCCTCTGTACATCATTATTCAACAGTACCTGCCTCTATTCCCTCTGTTTTGTTTGTTTGTTTGTTTTGGGGGGTATGTATACAAAAACACTCAGAAATATATAATAATTATACAACCAAAGGGCACATTCTGCAAGCCGGCCTCCTGGCTGCCAGCACACAGCCTTACTCTTCCCATGAGTCTAGAGTCTGCAGCTGCTCTATCTTCCTCATCTCTGCCTCCATCTCTGGTGTCGCTGCTTCTCTGGGTAGGGTCTCACATTCCACTCATGCTCTTCTCCCTTGATGGTCCTAGGGTCCTCTGTTTCTGGACTGTAAGATTAACTACTGCACCATTTTTGTTACAAAGCGTCTACCTTTACAGTTGTGACAGTCGCAATTAGTCATGATAACAATTACTCAGTATTGAATCATAAGAATCTTATCCCCATCTCTTTTCACCAGACCCGTCTAGACAAGATGAAAACTATTCAGTGGGAATTCTACCTTCCCCCGTACACTCTGAAACTAAACTCCCACTTGAAAACTTGTAAGCCAGTCACTTCATACCTTTATCACCTCCCCGCCCCCCATTTTAGGTAGTCAATGTCTAAGTTGCCTGTCCCTACCAACCCTGTATAGAAAGGGGATAGGATTGATACTTGATGCGAAGACTTCTTCCCTCTCAGTTGGTATTTTGAGGTACCTATAATATAGGTCAAGTTCATCAAATTGAAGCAATTTACACTTATTTCCTTTATCAAAAATTTCTTATCTTCTTCTGGTTGAGTTCTGATCATCCAGCCATCGAGGCTAGGTCAAATGGGTTATATTGGCAAGTTTGGGCAGACTGAACATTTTTATCAAAGATTCCATAGAAGAATCCTGATTAAAAGGGAAGAAATTCAGAGCAGAATATCAAATTCTCGTGGGCTGTAGACTTTCTGGAATCATGGAGGATGAATAAAACCTTGAAACTATTGCCTGAGATAATTGTTAAACTGTAAACCAAAAGTATCACCTGGCATCATCTTAAAACCGAACAACAGTTTAACTTAACTACTAAAAAATTTAGCCTTGAATATTATACTCTTTTGAGTATGGTCAAGTTGATAACAGCAATTTGAAAAATCAGATAGGAATCTTAGGGGACAGGGAGTTTAGTCTAATGAAGGAGGAATAACTTAGAGGAGCTGAGAACAGTTGAACAACTGAGAGAATGTCATCAGTGTCACTGAATTGTACCTGTAGAAACCATTGGATTAGTCTGTGTTTTGCTGTGTATAAGTGCAGTTCCACTCTAAAACACATGGAGCTCTGGTAGCGTAGTGGTTACGAATCGGGCTGTGAACCTTAAGTTCAGCAGTTTGAAACTACCAGCTAAAAGATGAGGCTTTCTGCTCCCATATAGATTTACAGTCTTGGAAACCCTGTACAGGGTCGCTATGAGTCGGAACCGACTCCACGGCGCATAACCAACAACTCTGAAACATATGCGGTCACTGTGAGTTGGAATAGACTATGGCAACTGGTTTGGTCTGGGGCATTTTTGAATCTTTAAATTGGTAGGATCCTTTGGGAACGGGAGGGTTCCATCTAGAGTAGGGAAGATTTTCAGTCTATGAGGATAAAATTACTTTATACATCCTGTGAGTGGGCCTCAAGCAGGCCTTTGCCCCTACAGTGCCCCAACCCTCATTTCCCCTATTTCTGCAAACCCTCTTTAAGTGGCCTGCAGTGCCCCATCTTGGCCTCCAGGGGCCGCCCCAGACTGTCAAACCAGCTCTGGCGATGCAGGAGGTGGTGGTCACTGGGTTCTCAGAAGCAGATAGTGGGTGTGTCTGGCTACCCCACGAGGGAGAGAATTTTCCTCTCTGAAGGTATATCAAGGAGGGACTGGGTGATAGCGAAGCGATTCTAGAGACCATGATGGCTAACCTCTCCTTCAAAGTTCGATCCATGTCAACATCACTTGCATCCTCTGGAGCGTATCTCAGGCCCCACCTTCTGAGTCGGAACCGTTTAACAACCTCCCAGGCGACGCCCATGGAATTGATTTGAAAGCAATAGTCTGGAATTAGGGGTATTTTACAAACTAGAGATTCAGATTCCTTGATTAGAGGGAATGGGGTTGGGAGTGTGGTGGTGTGTGAGGGCGGGGTGGAGTGAGAGGTGGGGCTGGCTTAGGCAGATCTAAACTGGCTCTCCGGTCCTTCCCCACCTGAACACATGAGGGCCAGGTAATAGGCCCTCTGCCTTGCACCTGGGTCCCTGTGTTGGCCTTCCTCTCCCTGGCCGGTTCTGTCACCCAGGAGTGGCTACTAATATTAATGACGATAACCCACGGTTCCCTCACCCTGAGCCCAGAGCGTTCATGTGTCATCTAACTTAGGTCAGCCTGCAAACAGTGTAGCGATAGCCAGTAAGAGGTTGAGTCAGGAATGGAATCCAGGTTCATGTGAATCCAAAGCCCAAGCTCTTAATCACTGCGTCTACCTCTTGTCCTCTGGGGCACTGATCCCAGTTTAGCGTCTGCCTCAATTTACCCATTTGTTCAAGAGAAAGAATAAGAAATTATGGAGGATATTTCAGCATAGCCAAGGAGACATACGCCCTCTTCTTCCTACCTCTATCCCCACTCTTCCTAACTGTCCTAACCCTTTGTTCACGTTGTCCCATCAACATCCGGTTTCTCCAGAGCCTGGCTGTGGTCATCAGGCTGTGAGGCTCTGTGGTCAGAGCACTGGACGTGAAGTCTTCTGAGCAAGAGCTGAGTTCTACCATTGGCTAGTGGTGTGACTTTCAGCACCTCCCTTAACTGCTGCGGAAACGGTGTCGAAGACCACCTCTTTCAGAGTTATGACAAGGCCTGAATGACTTTGCTCTGTCCCTCTCCACAGCCCAGCAGCCCCAGCCTGCCTGAAAGACTCACGATTCTCTTTGAGGATTGCTGTGGCTTTCCATGTTCACCATGACTAAGTCCCCCATTTCCTGGGAATGGAGGGGGTGAACAGAGAGTCAAGGACAGCTTCCTTTTGATTTTTTACTTCATCCGAGGCCCCATGTCCCTTCCAGAATCCCAAGTCCTCTGCTCCAATTACCGAAGCCACCCATCCTGGCATCTTGTGAAGTCTGTCCTGTTTGAGAATACACACAGTAGGACTGATGCTAGCAAGGTACTCAGTCTCCTGTGGGCCCCCTGATCAGAACCTGGGGAAGAGAAATCATTTCCTTTGCTCCTCAGAGGATTGTGAAAATACATTGTGCCCCTGGCTCGTGGTGGGGCTGATCCACATGCTGCCAGAAACCCCACTGTTTCCATAGGGGATGACAGGAATCTGCAGCTGTGGCCTTGATCCAGGTTGGAGGTGGGGAGGTACAGATTAGAGCCCCCCCCCAATATTTCATACCCATCCAGCCTCCACCATGCCCCTCCTCTATTGCTCTGATGTTTCTTGGCTGTGTGACTTAGGGCAAGTTGCTTACCCTCTCTGAGTCTCACGTGACTGAAAACTAAGGTTAATGATTCCTTATGGGGTTGTTGTGATGTACCACAAGCCCTTTGACAACTGTCCCCTGCAGTTCATTATTTCACTGAGGTGTCTCCCTGCGCCTCCTGGAGCCAGGCCAGCTGGTCACCACCTGCACTCGTATCCATACTCATGTGGGTTGACTTTTCCAGTCCCATTCAAATCCTGACTTGGTTGGACAAAGCATGTCCCTTTTGAGTCTCAGTTTCCCCACTTTGTAAGGAGGGTACCTTCACCAGCTTGGTAGAGGGGCTGGTACTAACCACAAAGAATGAGCTCCACAGAGGTCTCTTGACCACTGTACTCATTACACAGAGGGACAAGCTGAGGCTCAGAGAGAAGATACTTGCCTGGGATCACACAGCAGAGCTGACAGAGCAACTGTCTGAATAAAGGGAGGAAGCCTGGCTTGGGTGAGCTGTGTTGGATGTCGGAAGCTCTGCCAGGGGGTCCCCAAGAAACAAGTCAGTGGTGCACTTTGGAGCCCTGGCCCCCTTACCTTTGAGAGGAGGCAGAGGAGGAGGAAGGCAAGAAGATGAGTCTGTGGTGAGCCTCTCATGTCACCGAGTCCCCTGCAGAGCCAGCTCTGAGCCTGGGAGGCAGGACCCGTGAGTCTTTATGTTCCAGCAGCTGTGAGGTCACTCCAGGCAAGCACACCCTCTCACACAGACCAACACACACACTCTCTCTCTCACACACACTGAACTTCCGTTCCTTCCTCCTCTCCCCATCTTCATGTTCCTCTGAGGAAGGTCTTACCTGAAGGTGAGACTGTGGAGGCCACCAATGGGGTGTCTGCCAGTGTGTGTATGTGAGAGAGTGTGTGTGTGCCCACGTGCAAAAGACAAAGCCAGTGCCAACGCCAGTACCAGCGGCAGGAGCCTGTGGTAGGCTGCCAGGGCCCCTCAAGCTCTTCCCAGCCCCAGAGGGCCCTGCCCCCCACCCTGCCCGACTCCAGGATGGGGCCGTTGATCCGGGCAGCACTCAGCTGACCTTCCTTTCAGAAATGATACAAGTCGTCAGAGCCCCGTGGCCGGACTCTGGGCAGCCTGGGCCCAAGCTGCGGTTTTGGCTGGGAGCTTGGCAGCCACCCAGAGGTGGGTGTGACCCAGAACCAAACTTCCCTGGAGCGTTTGTTGGCTCTTGGCAGCATGAGCCCTCACCACGGCCTGCTTCCCCAGGCTCTGGGAGATGAACTTAAACAGATTGGGCCTACTATGGGACCATTGCTTGCTGGGCACCGTTAGGTAGATGATCTGGTCGACCCAACTCCATTTCGCTTAATTCTGCAAACTCTAAAGCCCGTTTTCCAGGGACTAGAGATACACCACAAGGTCAAGCTGGGGGATCAGAGTGAGAAAGGAGCCAGGGGGGATTCCTAGGGCCTATTGAGCCTGAGGGACCACTATTTGAAGGAGGTGCCATTTCGGAGAGATGGCTAGAGAGGGCGGAGAGTTCCAGGCACAGGGACAGCATGTACAGAAGTAGGGGGAGGCAGATAGCACTTCCTATTCCGGGAGCAGAAGGTGTCTGTCTGGATGGAACTTACTAGGGGTGGGGGTGGTAAGCATAGGGCATTGGGGTAGGAGTCCCTGTCTCCTTCCTAGAGATGAGGAAACCCGACTCCAGAAGTTGAGTTCCTTGCCCAAATCCTCTCACTCTGATGAAAGCTGAGTTCTTGAACTTAAGCTAACATTTGAGCCCTAGTCTATCTGTAAATCAAGCCACGTCCCTGACAATCTTGAAAAGATCATTTTTTAATGGGATGGTAAGACACAGATGGGAGTCCTGGTGTGGAACTATTGGATAAGCTCTTGAATGCTAATCACAAGGGCGGTGGTTTAAACCTACCAGCCACTCCTCAGAAACCTTATACAAGGTCACTATGAGTCCACGGCACATAACAATAACAACAATGTTGTTGTTGTTGTTAGGTGCCATCGAGTCAGTACCAACTCATAGCGACCCCTATGCACAACAGAACGAAACACTACCTGATTCTGTCCCAACCTCACAATTGTTGCCACGCTTGAGCCCATTGATGCTGCCACTTTGCCAATCCATTTCGCTCGGGGTCTTCCTCTTTTTCTCTGACCCTCCACCTTACCAAACATGATATCCTTCTCCAGCAACTGGTCCCTCCTGACAATATGTCCAAAGTATGAGAGATGAAGTTTGGCCATCCTGGCCTCCAAGGAGCACTCTGGCTGCACTTCTTCCAACACAGATCTGTTTGTTCTTTTGGTAGCCCATGACACTTTCAATATTCTCCTCTAACACCATAATTCAAAAGCATCAATTCTTCTATGATCTTCCTTATTCACTGTCCAACTTTCTCATGTATATGAGGTTATTGAAAATATCATGGCTTGGGTCAGGCATACCTTAGTCCTCAAACTGACATCTTTGCTCTTCAACACTTTAAAGAGGTCTTGTGCAGCAGATTTGCATAATGCAATACGTCGTTTGATTTTTTGACTGCTGCTTCCATGAGTGTTGATAGTTGATCCAAGAAGAATGAAGTCGTTGACAACTTCAATCTATTCTTCATTGATAAGAATGTTGTTTATTAGTCCAGTGGTGAAGATTTTTGTTTTCTTTACATTGAGACGCAATCCATACTGAAGGCTGTGCTCTTCGATCTTCATCAGTAAGTATTTTAAGTCTTCTTCACTTTCAGCAAGCAAGGTTGTATCATCTGCATAGTGCAGGTTGTTAATGAGACTTCCTCCAATCCTGATGCCACATTTTCTTCATCTAACCCAGATTCTCAGATTATTTGCTGAGCATGCAGCTTGAATAAGTAGGGGAAAGAATACAACCCTGGTGCACATCTTTCCTAATTTGAAACCATCCAGTGTTCCCATGTTCTGTTCAAACAGCTGCCTCTTGGTCCATGTACAGGTCCCTTATGAGCACAATTAAGTGTTCCAGAATACTCACACTATGCAATGTTGTCCATAGCTTGTGATGATCCACACAACCAAAAGCCTTTGCATAGTCAATAAAGCACAGGTAAACATCTTTCTGGTATTCTCTGCTTTCAGCCAAGATCTATCTGACATCAGCAATAATATCCCTCATTCCACATCCTGTTCTGAATCCGGCTTGGACCTCCGGAAGTTCTCTGTCAATGTATGCTTGCAGCCATTTCTATATTACCTTTAGTAAAATTTTACTCGCATGGATATCAAAGATACTGTCCAATGATTTCCGCATTCCATTGGGTTACCTCTCTTTGGAATGGAAACAAATACAAATCTCTTCCAATCAGTCAGCCAGATAGTCATCTTCCAACAACAATAACAACACAGATGGCATAACCTTGTTTGTTGAAAGCAAACAGGACTTGAAGCACTTACTGATGAAGATCAGAGACTACAGCAGGCTATATGGATTGCACCTCGATGTTACGAAATTAAAGACCCTCTCAACTAGACCAATAAACAAACTCATGATAAATGAAGAAAAGACTGAAAGTGTCAAGGATTTCATTTACTTGAATCCACAACCAGTGCTAATGGAAACAGAAGCCAAGAAATCAAGTGATGTATTACACTGGGCACATCAGCTGTACAAGACCCCTTTTAAATATTACAGTGCATAGATGACACTCTTAGAGTGTCAGTCTCCTCATATACATGTGACCACCACTCATCTGTCAGGTTGCCATACTGTGGTGGCTTTTCTGTTTCTGTGATGCTGGAAGCTATGTCACCTGTATTTTGAATACCAGCAGGGTCACCCATGGTGGACAGGCATCAGCAGAGCTTACAGTCTAAGACAGACTTGGAAGAAAGAGAGGTGAAATACTTCTGAATGTAGACTTATGAAAAGTAATAAAACATTGTCGTATAGAGTGCCAGAAGATAAAAACATTACAGATAACATCAGAATATTGTAAGATATTCTGTTATCTGTAATATTGTCAGAAGATGAGTCACTCAGGTTGGAAGGCACTCAAAATGTGACTGGGGAAGAGTGGCCTCCTCAAAATTGGGTTGACTATGATGTTGCCAATAGAGTAAAGTTCTTGGGAACTTCATTTGGTGATATGGCACAACTCAAAATGAAACAAAACAACTGTAAGCATTCATGAATAATTGGAACGTGGAATGCATGAAGTATGAATCTAGGAAAATTGGAAGTTGACAAAAATGAAATGGAAATGCCATATTCTAGGCATGAAATGAATTGGTATTGGCCATTTTGACCCTGATAGTCATACAATTTACTATGTGGTAAATGACAAATTGGAAACAAATTATGTCACATTCATCATCAAAAAGAACATTTGCAGATCTATCTTGAAGTATCAATACGCCTACAAGGAAAAACAGTTAATATCACTATTATTCAAGTATATATACCAACCATGAAAGCAAGTAATGATGAAATTAAAGAATTCTACCAACTTCTTCAGTCTGAAATTGATCAACCATGAAATGAAGATGTATTGATAATTACTGGTGATTAGAATATGAAAGTTGAAAAAAAAGACGAAGGATCAGTAGTTGGAAAATATGGTTTTGGTGACAGAAACAATGGTGATCACAGGATAGAATTTGGCAAGACCAATGATTTTTTTCATTGTGAATACTTTTTTTCAAACAACATAAAAGATGGCTGTACACATGGACCTCACCAGGTGGAAAACACAGAAATCAAATTGACTCCATCTGTGGAATGATGTTGGAAAAGCTCCAATATCATCAGCCATAACAAGGCCAGTAGCAGACTGTGGAACAGACCATCAGTTGCTCATAAGCAAGTTCAGGCTGAAGAATATTAAGAATACTCCATGGGAGCCAAAATATGACCCTGAACATATCATATCCCACCTGAATTTAGAGATGATCTCAAGAACAAATTTGATGACTTAGACACTAATAACTGAAGACCACAAGAGTTATGGGATGACATCAAGACCATTATACAGGAAGAAAGCCAAAGGACATGAAGAAGACAAGAAAGAATGAGAAGTCCAAAATGCATGTCAGAAGAGATCCTGAAACTTGCTTTCTCCGACACAGAGATGCTAAAGCTAATGGAAGAGATGAGGAAGCAATGAAGCTGAATAGAAAATTTCAAAGGGCAGCTTGGTAAGACAAAGTCAAATATAATAATGAAATGTGCAAACATCTGGAGTTAGAAAACCAAAAGGGAAGAACAGGCTCAGCATTTCTCAAGCTGAAAGAACTGAGGAGAAAATTCAAACCTCAGCTTGCAATATTGAAGGATTCTATGGACAAAATAAGGAGCTCTGGTAGCGTAGTGGTTACAAATCAGGCTGCTAACCTCAAGGTCAGCAGTTCAAAACTATCAGCTGTTCCGTGGGAGAAAGATGAGGCTTTCTGCTCCCGTAAAGATTTGCAGCCTCGGAAACCCTGTGCAGGGTCACTGTGAGTCAGAACCGATCCACAGTACTTAACAACAACAACAACATGGACAAAATATTGAATGATGCAGAAAGCATCCAAAGAAAGTGGAAGGAAGACACAGTCACCGTACCAAAAAGAAATGGCTGGTGTTCAGCCATTTCAAGAGGTAGCATATGAT